TTATCTGTGGCCAATGACCTTGAGCCTTCTTGGATGGGCACTTCTAATGTAACTCTATGGCAGCACCCAAGGGGCTTGAATTTGCTAGCTCTATCCTTAGATTTGGCGGTGACTAGCGTTCCCATGAGTGACAGAACACTGAGCCAATTACGGCGCAACTAGAGAACATTACCAACCCCTATGCTCCATATTTTCAGTTGGAAGCACTGAGCCAGGCTGAAACACCTTCATTTTGGAGCTGCCTTACTCAAGAAAGCAAAAAAGAGAACATATTTGTATGCGGCTTTATTAACTCAATGATGTTGTTTTGTTTTTTTACATTGTTTGCAAACTGATATTTGACATGTATTAATGCCAAAATAACATGCAAATGACCCCCCCCCCCAAAAAAAACAAATAACGTGTATTATTTATTTTTTGCTACAAATGTGGGGTCGCCACTGCAATGTAGTATGTGTGAGTGTGTGGGTAGAGTCTAGTGAGGGTGCATAGAGCCAGTGCAAGAGTCAGTGCAAAAAATAAAGATAAAAAAACAATAATTGGAAAAGAGAACATTAAACCCAGATTTGGGACCACACAGCCACTCCACTGAATAGCAGGCTTTAATTAATTGAAATAGTCCTGCTAGCCATTTGATTAACTGTTCAGCAGTCTTATGGCTTGGGGGTAGAAGCTGTTAAGGACTTGGGTGGCTGGGGTCTTTGACAATTTTGTATTGTTAATATTTTGCATTGAAGTGTGTAGGCTACCACTGGAAGTAGGTCTGCTGTAGTTTACATTTTTTTCACAGTAGACAGTGTTTCAGAATTTAGATTTGGGAAAAAGTAAATCCAAAACATCATTGAATGTAAACGATCTGTTTACAGGTCCAAAACAATTTGCAATTGTTTTTGTGTTTCAGAAACGGTCAGATACAGCAAATATCACTGCAAAAGAAAACATTCTGCCACCTCCAAAGACCTTTGATCAAGTTCGCCATTGCTATTTCCTTTAAATACTGTCTTGGCCTAATTCCAATACTTTCAAAGTATACAGCAAAGGGCATTATTGTCCCCATAAAAGGTGAATGATGGGCATTTTTCAGGTGGAGTTATAATGCTCGCTCACACGCGGGCAGTTTTACAACAGGTCTGATTTATAACGGGAAACGTTTATGTATGGCTTGTGCCAAGTTTAATACATCTCAATATTTTTGTGCATACACAGTCTTTTCAGAAATGGGGCACGCAGATATTTAGTGTAAAATGTACACAACGGTTATGAGGCCCCTGGTCTCATGAAGAAATTACTAGTCCTCATTTTCCGAGACCGAGTCAAGACCGAGTAAAAATGGATCCAAGACCGAGACACTCAATGTGTGGTCTCGAGACCAGACTCTAAACATACTACAACACTGCCTTGTGGTGGAGGTCTACAGAGCATGTTGACTCCCTTGATAAATTTTTTTGCTGTTAGCCTTGGTATAGAGAGCAATAGTAATGGCATCTTTTTGTAGGCACTAACTCCGCAATGGTTCGTTGGGCAAAGCCTATTGGAAAATTAATGGAGTTTTTGTAGGGTTTTTCGATAATCACAGAAAATAAGGTTTTAGGCTTAGGAGATCTTATATTATCTCATAGAACAAAACGTATAAGATCTCCCAAGCTTGTTAACCTCAGACCTTATTTTGGGCGTTTATCCCAAAACTCTATTATTTCTCCATTCATTTTTCCCATAGGAATGGCTGAACGAATCTGAGGTAACTCATTTCCAGTTTTTAGGACTACAAGTTGGCGAGCTCTACTGGAATATGTCATTAGCTGAAATAGACCAGTATGAATATAAATGGAGAATAAACATTATGTGGTCAGGGAGGGCAGGGAGTTCTAAAAGTAATATGTCACTGTTCATTTGCTAAGGAGGATGAAATAAACAGGTTTCATTTCTGCTATATTAATTTATAATATACTGACTTGCTTGCATACAGTAATTTTTTTTCTTCTGTTTCCAATATATAGATATTGGGCTCCAAGTAAATGCTGACAGGAATTAATAATGACATTAACTAAATTATGAATATTTATTCATTATTAATTTGATCATTTATCGAGGGGAGTTTGTTGTTCTTCTGAATATCGAGCCCTGGAATGAAATTTGTATTCAAATAGATTAATGTCATTAATGATTAAGTAATGTTGACTACATCTTTGGGAGAAAAAGAAATATAAATGAATGTCCCTTGACATTCTAATTGAGGCAACCCATTTGCTTGGTAATCTTCAGCCTCTTTGCAACATCAGCCTTCTTTCTCTACACCGTACCTCTCCCCCTGTCTCCCCCCTCCTCTCTCTCCATCTCCAAAATGAGTTTTTAAGACAACACCCCATTTTAGACTACACCCCGCTGTGTGAGCGAAACCCAGACACAAACATCCACACCTCTACAGCACTCCCCATCTTTCTGTCTGACCTTCTTTCTCTCGCTCTCGCTCTCTCTCTTACTCTGCCTTTTTGCATTTTCCTCCATTTATACATACACCACCCCAATCCTCACTTCGACTTCCATTTTCTTCCACTGCCTAGTTGGTTTTGTCTCTTTGTGTTGTTTCTGTAAATCTTTCCAGTATTCCTCCTCTTAGTCTTAGATGGAACACACAGTATCTCTACAATTTATATTGGTATACTCTTCCTTACACCTCCACATTTTATATGTATTTTTGCTCCATGTTATGTGACAGATGTTAATTTACATTTACTCTGTGGAATCTGTTAATACCTCTGATCATAGGCAGCTGGATGTATGGCTCGATATATTGAAAGCCCCAATGTTGAAACAGTATCAGGGAAAACAAAGACTGTTTCATGCATAACCTACATCTAACCCAACGTGAAATGAAAATTGTGATAATGTTATTTTACTGTACCTGTAGAGTTACATATTTGGATATTAGTGATAACAACATTATTTTACTGCACCTGTTAGAGTTACAGATTTGGATATTAGTAATAATCTTATTTTACTGCACCTGTTAGGCTGCGTTTACACAGGCAGCCCAATTCTAATCTTTTGCCCAGTTATTGGCAAAAGATCTAATCTGATTGGTCAAAAGACCAATTAGTGGCAAAAGATCAGAATCGGGCTGTCTGTGTAAATGCAGCCTAGAGATACAGATTTGTAATTATAACACAGAAGCCTAGATCAGTACAATTCACAGATACAGTATCCCTGTGTGGCTACAGATGCTTTTTCTACACTGGGATTAAAACTGTCTGTCCTTACGACAGCCCACACTCAGCATCTCAGCAGGGGCTCAAAATAGCTGACCATCACCATCACCACCCAGGAGGTTGCAGCCTTCCAAAATCCAAATCCTCCATTTATAGAAATCTCCCTCAATGGGATATCTAAAATGTTTTATTTTCCCATTATCCATATTTTCCAAAAGTGGTGTATCTTAACCTATGGTGTAACTGCTGTCCTGTCCACAGTAAACTGTTAACTATGTCAGTGCCGAAGAGCTCCAGATGTTGTGACTTAGGTATCTTAACAGATGCTATCCTTAATACTTAGTTTGTGCTTAATGTGCAACAAAACATACACATCTACAGGGCAAAACAGACGGGGTTGGCTTAGAGTATTGACAACTATATTTAGTCTCCAAATGTTTATTGAAAACATTAATATATTTGCACAATGAGCACTTGTCTCTCAAATACATAATTACAGTTGTTGGTTAGCTAGCTAGCAAATGTTGTCCATATTAGCAATTAGCATATACATGACATCAGTCAAAACACCTCAAAACAAGACATGGTATCAATAACAAGCTACAACGAGCCACCTACAATTCCCCACATGGCAGCTTCTTGTCTTGTTGCTAGCTATCTGACCGTTCAGAATCATAACAACGCATGCCTTCCGGCCACATTGTGGCAGGTGTATTGAGAAATGACCAGTGAACTGCAGTGCTCAATAAAGCACTGTGCCCGGAATTAACCCCATCTTTGTTCTAGCTTGGAGATATCCTGCTTTTTCAATCATGAAGATCAAACATTGTGTTACTGTTACTATATGGCGCTCACTGTCATTGCAGGTTGAACCCTATTGGTGCATATGGTTATTTAGTATTTATTTAGTATTCAGAGAATGGTACAGTTGAAGAAAGACAGAAACATGACAGAGAATCACAAATGTTCAGTGACTAATTTATTTACTGTTGAATGTAGGATCACACATTCCTTGTACATCTATTGGATGAGATTTACCCATTGTTGCCACTTGCCATTTAAAAGATTAGAGACATCAAATACAGCATGTTCATCCTCTCATTTAAAGCCTGCTTACTGTACATTAAACTGTCCAATGCTACCCTCTAGAGGTTAGCTGTGTAAGAACATGCATATGATCAAACTTCCTAAAGAGGAGATATTGGATTAATGGATCAAATAAGTTCTTGTCTATATTAAAAGGCACAAAGTATGTGGTGTACTGCCCTGCAACAATATAATTACACTGAAATGAAGGGGTATCCGAGCAAATCATGTTTGATAACTAGAACTTGTTCCCATACTATTACCACTTCATTCTGTGTTATGTAAAGTGCGACCAAATGTTTTTTAATACAGCCTGACGACCAGATCAACCATGCCCTTTGGGCATGCACTATTCACCAACCTGTCCATCAAACATCGGTCTTAGCAGCACTGTTAAATTCATTACGACCTTGCAGACTTTTGAAATGATCAGGAAGTGAGTTCCATAGATGGACTCAACAGTTACCATTCGTTAACCCTCATTAACATCTACCTTTATATTGAAAATATATTACCAAATTGCAGTGTATTCAGAGCCAGCCCATGCAGACATTTAGACATTTGTTTCACATTAAGGAAAAAAACATAAGTGATCAAAACCAAACATAGTATGCTTTGGAATATGACAAAGGATGGATAAGGCTAATATGTAAAACAATGTCCCAACTTTGAACAACTATTTCTCAAATACAGTTCTGGCCAAATATATCAGTTTTGGTCATCCTCTGCAGCAACAAAGAGAAACCTTCCATTGGCTCTCTCAATTGGGATGAGTGTTGCGTGATTCTCCTCTGCCATGGGGTCATTCATATCATATTTCACATTTAAGGCCCCTGACTTGCTAGCAAAGACTCTTTTGGTAACAAACATAAGGGGAGGTATGAGTCGGATGACTGTGCCTTTATATTGAAGAAGAATCACGGCATTGGCATTGCAACCATTCACCGACCCATCCCATTGCAGCATACCGTAGTAGCAATGGAAAGTGCAAGATCCCCACTTTTGGACAGTGATAACAAACCTAATCCAGAGCTGCAAATCTTAAAAGAAAAAAAAACAACAACAAATAAAGCATCAACTTTAAGACATTCTGGTAGTACAGTGATTTGAAGTAATATTTAAGTAATTACACATCAATTAATAGGGTAATTATATGACTATGAGAAACTAAGCAATTACAACTAGTTTCCACCTTATTACCATGTTGTTACCACTTTTTTCTGTAACGTAAAGTAATACAAAAAAGTTAATATGGAAATAAAATCAGATTATTTAATGCTTACCTGCAGCTGCTTTTTCAAGAACTTGAATCACCTCCTCAGAATACTCCAGATGGATCGCAGTCACGTTTTTAGGAAGATCATTACATTTTACATTTTAGTAATTTAGCAGACGCTCTTATCCAGAGCGACTTATAGTGAGTGCACACATTTTTTCATACTGGCCCCCCGTGGGAATCGAACCCACAACCCTGGCGTTGCAAGCGCCATGCTCTACCAACTGAGCTACACGGGGCATTATAGCCATATAATGACACTGTAAAGACCACAAACTGTTGGCAAGAAGAGAAGCTTTAGTTTCAGATAGCCCTCTTCCGTATGTGTATAGGTCTAAAACAGCTGGGTGTGGACCTATTCCTGTAAAGAAGGAAATATACTCTCTAAAACATTGAAAATCAGCACATATCACATGTTGATGGTAAAGACCAACTTGAAATACATAGTAGACCAAAGGGTATACAGTAACACCAACCATGAGGTACAAATAGAACTCCAAGGATCTTCCTCTCTTTGACAGTATTTCTTCTCCCTCCCCCCGGTCTTTCATTGATTACTTCAGCCAGTATCCCTGGGCTATCCTTGGAAGGTACACTGAAGTTGACAAGGCAAGGCCATACAGCCATCTTAACAAACTTAGTGTGTAAGGTGTTTGGTTTTGGAGATCACAAAAGCCCCATAGGTTCTACTCCAGTGTAGCTGCCACCTAGAGATGAAGCTCTTGTTATATAAATCTGTCCACTGCAGTCACCCTCATAGGTAGCTGGGGACCTGAATACAATGCCTTTGTCATCTGTTACTTTAGCCCTCAGATCCACCTGCTGACTTGCGGTTGTGGACAATTGCACAATTGAGTGACCAGCAGTTCAAAGATGACTTAAACTGGTCAGTTAGATTACATGATATGAGGATGGCGTTGAATATGGTACCTAGAAAGAAACATGGAGAGACAATAATATATTTGGTTGTTCATCAATGCATGAAGTGCATAGTTAATTAAATGTATAATCAAAATACAGTACAGTATGAAGATGGCCAGACACTACTTCTCCAATAGAAATCCCCGATCATACTTGTAGGCGGTGTCATGGCAACGTTGGCTAGATAAACTCATGCGCAGAAACACCTAATCGGGTGTAATGGTGATCTCGCGCTTAACTGTGCATGTGCAGGCCGTCAAATCAAGGGCACTTCTTCGATATAAGGTTGTTTTTGACGAAAATGGAAAACTTGTCAGTTTGTCACTTTCACAAGGTTGGAGTAATAACATGTTCAACTTCTTAAGACACTGGCTCAAATCTGGGTTGTGCCTTTAGATTTAGAGAAAATTAACAACTAAGAAAGATTTTTGGACTTCTCAAACCGCAATCCCCAGCCTGGTCTGCGTCGCAAACGTTCCAGGAAATCTAGCGATATTGCGCCTCTGGGTTTAGAAACGCTGTGCTATAATGATAAGCAATAGCAATATAATATGCAAATGTTAAACAGCAATATTAATAAATTGCAATATGCAAATGCCATAGACGTGAATGATCAATATTAATAACGAAATCAATAATAATATGGCAATAGGAATGCAAGTTAAAGCTGCCTACATTGAAAAGTAGCACAAGTGAAGCTGAGAAACAAGCAATTAGCAGCAGCAAGCGAGGAGTGTGGTTTAAAGGGGAATGGAAGCATTTTACAAGCTACGTCATATAAACCAATCTAAACAAACCCTAAATACATGTTCTGGGTGTTTTTCATACAGAAATTGCTTTGAATGATTTTGAATATTTGACTGGGCGTTGTCAATAAAATTGCCATGGTAGTGATGCGAGCTGCTGCGTCATTGACTGGATAGAAAGATTTGGAAAGTTGATTTATGATTGCTTACAAAAATGTGCTTAACAAGTCACATAATAAGTTGCATGGACTGTGTGCAATGAGTCTAAATTATTTTTGAATGACCACCTCATCTCTGTACCCTAAGCATTGTTGTTCACTAGTTTACTCCAAGTAGGGAAAGGGTGGCGGGGTTGGAAAGTAATAAAGGGGAATATATATATTTTTAAGGATATGTATGTGTATGTATGTATGTGTGTATGTGTGTCTGTATATAAAACATGGGGGATTGGAAGTGATGCAGACAATTACATTGATGGAAGTTACAATCTATCTGCAATATTAAGCTGATCTACCCCCAACAAAAAAACAAAAACAAAAAAAAAGGTCCCTAACACAGATTCAACCACAAAGACCAGGGAGGTTTTCCAATGCCTCGCAAAGAACAGCACCTATTGGTAGATGGGTAGAAATAACAAAAGCAGACAATAAATATCCCTTTGAGCATGTAGACGTTACTAATTACACTTTGGATGGTGTATCAATACAGCCAGTCACTACAAAGATACAGGCGTCCTTCCTAACTCAGTTGCCGGAGAGGAAGGAAAGCGCTCCGGGATTTCACCCTGAGGCCAATTGTGACTTTAAAACAGTTACTGAGTTGAATGGCTGTGATATGAGAAAACTGAGGATGGATCAACAACATTGTAGTTACACCACAATACTAACCTAATTGACAGAGTGAAAAGAAGGAAATCCAGCATAACACATTGAGTACCACTCTCCATATTTTCAAACATAGTGGTGGCTGCATCGAGAATTTCAACAAGCATTTTGCTACGGCTGGCCATGTGTTCCACCTGGCTACCACTACCCCGGCCACCAGCTCTGCACCCTCTACCCATGCCCCCCTCCCGCTTCTCCTTCACACAAATTCAGACAGCTGACGTTCTGAAAGAGCTGCAAAATCTGGACCCCTACAAATCAGCTGGGCTAGACAATCTGGACCCTTTCTTTCTAAAACTAGCCGCCGAAATTGTCGCAACCCCTATTACTAGCCTGCTCAACCTCTCTTTCGTATCGTCTGAGATCCCCAGAGATTGGAAAGCTGCCGCGATCATCCCCCTCTTCAAAGGGGGTGACACTCTAGATCCAAACTGTTACAGACCTATATCCATCCTGCCCTGCCTTTCGAAAGTATTTGAAAGCCAAGTTAACAAAACAGATCACCGACCAATTCGAATCCCACCGTACCTTCTCCGCTATGCAATCCGGTTTCCGAGCTGGTCATGGGTGCACTTCAGCCACGCTTAAAGTCCTAAACGATATTATAACCGCGATCGATAATAGACAGTACTGTGTAGCCGTCTTCATCGACCTGGCCAAGGCTTTCGACTCTGTCAACCACCGCATTCTTATTGGCAGACTAAATAGTCTTGGTTTCTCAAATGACTGCCTCGCCTGGTTCACCAACTACTTCTCAGATAGAGTTCAATGTGTCAAATCGGAGGGCCTGTTGTCTGGACCTATGGCAGTCTCTATGGGGGTGCCACAGGGTTCAATTCTTGGGCCGACTCTTTTCTCATATCAATGATGTCACTCTTGCTGCTGGTGACTCTCAGATCCACCTCTACGCAGACGACACCATTTTGTATACATCTGGCCCTTCATTGGACACTGTGTTAACAAACCTCCAAACGAGCTTCAATGCCATACAACACTCCTTCAGTAGCCTCCAACTGCTCTTAAACACTAGTAAAACTAAATGCATGCTCTTCAATCGAACGCTAATGGATCTCCAATCCAAAGTTAAATCTAGAATCGGCTTCCTATTTCGCAACAAAGTCTCCTTCACTCATGCTGCCAAACATGCCCTCGTAAAACTGACTATCCTACTGATCCTTGACTTCAGCGATGTCATTCACAAAATAGCCTCCAACACTCTACTCAGCAAATTGGATGTAGTCTATCACAGTGCCATCCGTTTTGTCTCCAAAGCCCCATACACTACCCACCACTGTCGTCAAACCCACTGGCTCCAGGCCATCTATAAATCACTGCTAGGCAAATCCCCGCCTTATCTTAGCTCATTGGTCACCATAGCAACACCCACCCATAGTCTGCGCTCCAGCAGGTATATCTCACTGGTCATCCCCAAAGCCAACACCTCCTTTGGCCGCCATTCCTTCCAGTTCTCTGCTGCCAATGACTGGAACGAATTGCAAAAATCTCTGAAGCTGGAGACTCTTATCTCCCTCACTAACTTTAAGCATCAGTTGTCAGAGCACCTTACCGATCACTGCACCTGTACACAGCCCATCTGAAATTAGCCCACCCAACTACCTCATCCCTATATTGTTATTTATTTTGCTCATTTGCACCCCAGTATCTCTATTTGCACATCATCTCTTGCACATCTATCATTCCAGTGTTAATACTAATTGTAATTATTTTGCACTATAGCCTATTTATTGCCTTACCTCCATAACTTGCTACATTTGCACATACTGTATATACACTGCTCAAAAAAATTAAAAGGAACACTAAAATAACACATCCTAGATCTGAATGAATGAAATAATCTTATTAAATACTTTTTTCTTTACATAGTTGAATGTGCTGACAACAAAATCACACAACAATTATCAATGGAAATCAAATGTATCAACCCATGGAGGTCTGGATTTGGAGTCACCCTCAAAATTAAAGTGGAAAACCACACTACAGGCTGATCCAACTTTGATGTAATGTCCTTAAAACAAGTCAAAATGAGGCTCAGTAGTGTGTGTGGCCTCCACGTGCCTGTATGACCTCCCTACAACGCCTGGGCATGCTCCTGATGAGGTGGCGGATGGTCTCCTGAGGGATCTCCTCCCAGACCTGGACTAAAGCATCCGCCAACTCCTGGACTGTCTGTGGTGCAACGTGGCGTTGGTGGATGGAGCGAGACAATGTTGTCCCAGATGTGCTCAATTGGATTCAGGTCTGGGGAACGGGCGGGCCAGTCCATAGCATCAATGCCTTCCTCTTGCAGGAACTGCTGACACACTCCAGTCACATGTGGTCTAGCGAATTTGCACAACAGCATGTGAAATGTATTGTCAATCAGTGTTGCTTCCTAAGTGGACAGTTTGATTTCACAGAAGTGTGATTGACTTGGAGTTACATTGTGTTGTTTAAGTGTTCCCTTTATTTTTTTGAGCAGTGTATATTTTCTGTTGTATTTTTTGACTTTATGTTTTTTTACCCCATATGTAACTCTGTGTTGTTGTTTTTATCGCACTGCTTTGCTTTATCTTGGCCAGGTCGCAGTTGTAAATGAGAACTTGTTCTCAACTGGCTTACCTGGTTAAATAAAGGTGAAATAAAATAAAAAATACAAATAAAAAATGTTATGGGTTTGTTTGTAATCGTTAATGACTAGGGAGTTTTTCAGGATAAAAAAGAAAATGGAATGGAGCTAAGCACAGGACAAATCCTAGAGGAAAACCAGGTTCAGTCTGCTTTCCACCAGACACTGGGAGATTATTTAACCTTTCAGCAGGACAATAACCTAAAGGCCAAATCTACACTGGAGTTGCTTACCAAGACAGCGAATGTTCCTGAGTCGCCGAGTTACAGTTAACTATATTATACTTGAAAATCTATGGCAAGACTTGAAAATGGCTGTCTACCAATGATCAACAACCAACTTGACAGAGCTTGAAGAATTACAAAAAACAATGTGCAAAACTCGTAGAGACTTACCCAGAAAGACTCACAGAAGGTGCATCTACAAAGTATTGACTCAGGCGTGTGAATA